AAAAAAACTGATTCTTACCACAGATGCTATATCAATCCATTGCATAGCTTTTATCATGGCATCRTTTTCAGATGGAAGTGTTTCTAGGTTCCAATAGTTAAACTGTGAAAATTTGTGTGTGGCTCTCAGTACTCTGTCCTGAAGAGAGATTGAAACACATTTTCATTGACTTAGAATTTATGTTTACTTTTTAATATTTTTCCTTACAACATTTCAGTTCTCATTAACACATACCTCTTGGTCTGTGATTGGTTTTCTTTCTTCTTTAAATACATAACCAGTATAYCCTACTGGTACATTGATGGTACTTCCTTTCAAGCAGCGCCCACGAAAAGAAGCTTCCAGCTCTACAGACAAAACAAAATATAAGAATTGTCATCATTTTCAGCACAGCAAAGAAAATYATTCATCAAGACASGAGTTTTGTAAAACGATGTTTATGCACTTTCTGGGGAACCTTTTCCAGTCYCACTTTAATTCCCCMTCAGTTTCCCTGTCTCCCTTCTCAGTCATCCTACTGAATCTGATGTAAGCTTACATAACTTTAAAATAGTTTGATACTGTAGTAAGCTTATAGTATTTAATGGCCTTTTTTTAAACTAATCACACAATAATACTGTTCATGGTAATCGGTATATGCTGTCTATTACTCAAATGCATGCTATCTCTGCATTAAGCTTTGGACAAACGCTTATCCCGTACGTCAGTTTCTGAAAATGATGTTTACCTTGTTGTTCAGTCGATCTAACAGTGGTATCAAAATATGTTGATATATTTGCTTCTCCATTGTGATCTATATTGCACGGCAATGAATGGATTCTATCCGATTCAGCGACACTTCCAACCGATAGACTACCTTCGCAGTTCGACATGTTGTACTACACAAAATGGCGGGAAAATGACATTGTATACAGAGCCTGCGTATTTTCCTGTCAGCGGACTCATCCATTATAGTTGTTTTCAAAATGGCGGATGCATTCTTGAAAATTATCCGTTGAAATTTGGAGTTTTTGCTTCGCTCT